GGAACGTGACACAGAGGACGAGCCGTCCTTGCTACCCGGTGCTCGAAACACAGGAGGTGGAGCACGAACGAGGGCCGGGAGGAGATGAGGAAAGGGAAACACGAGGGTGGTTGGTGCGGATGGAGGAGGCGGGATAAGTGGCGGGCGCACCTATTGGAGTCTGGACGAGTCCCTTGTCCTGGTGCGGTGCAAGAGGGATTACGACGAGGCGATGGCAGCCGCAGGGTCGAATTTTGCTAGAATGAAAAAAAAGGAATGGAAGTGGACGGACATCKCYAAAMGGATGTCCGCACAAGGGGTGRTGAAGGAGTGGGATGCGTRCATGAAGCGTTGGGAGAATGTGATTGGGTGGTACAGGAAAAATTTCGATAGGGCGAAGGACTCGGGTATGTAGTTTTTTGGACACTCACTCCTAAACAACGGGTTGACAAAGGATACAAGTTCTAGATGGACCAACGGTTGTATGATGTGATCGCTGCAATGCAGAGCAAAAGCCAAACAACCAATCCTTCGAATCTCGTCGACAGTGGGATGTCACAGCAACAAGGGGGTGGGGGGGTCGGAGGCGGAGGAACTTCCGCAAGTGACAACTGCGAAGGCGATGGCGGGGACGGCGGTTGATATGTCGGTGAAACCGTGGGTGGGAAGATGGCGAAGAGGAAGAGCGCACGGCAAAATGCTTTTGAAGCTGTGACGAACGTCATGCAGTCCCACTCGAAAGTCGTTGCCGGGACAGGGCGAGCAAACGGCAGTGCGATGTGCTGCAACGGCAGTGCGACATTATGGAGAGGGAGGTGAGAGTGCAGGAGACGCGGTGCCATGTTTGGGATTGCGGATAGCGGATGTTGTGTGATGTGCCGTTGAAAATAGCGCAAGCTCTTTGCAAGGATTAAGCGTGGCCTTCGCTGCGGGTATCTGGGTGATGGTGCACGAGGGGGGTGAAATGGCTGGGTCGAGGGGGTTTCATTTTAGGGTTGGTGGGGCGGCGGGGTGATGGTGCCATCATGGTGGTGGGGGCGGGGGTTAGTTTGATTTTTTGCGGGGTGTTGGACAAGGGGGGGGGGGGCGGGTCCGGGGAATTTGGTTGTGACGTCTGTCAGTGACGATCGGATGGATGTCAGTTATGCGAACCGCCAGTTGCGCACTCTGCGGATGTGCGAGAAGTGACACGACGACGTTTCGATCTTGTACTTCCACCAGAACGTTGGGGCCAACGTGCAACATCCGTTGTGTCACTCTCAGTTGTTGCGTTTGTTCGTGGTGTTGCTTTTTTATTGCTTTTATTTTACCTTTTTTTTTTCTCGTGACGACGGGTATCGTCCTATGCGATATAAGCTCGTCACGTGAAGGGGTTGTGGAGAGAGTTCTCTCGACACAAGCGGGTTTTGTTGCGTGGCGACGCTGAGTGGTGGCCCGTCACTTGCACGGATTGTGGAAGTTCATGCGATAGGTTTGTGGAGAGAGAGAGAGAGAGAGAGAGAGATCATCCACTTGCGGTGTCTGCCCGCCAACCATGTCGGCATGCGACAACAATGGACGTGCGAGTGTCCAGTAGGGGCCACAACGAAGCACGAACACCCCGACTGCAGGCGCGGGGCAAGTTCCAGGCCCCACAGCCAGAGGATCGGAGTCACCCCATCTACAATCGGAGCAGCGTCACCAACGTGGCAATGACACATACGGAAGGGCTAATGGTGGAAGGTGGTGGATGGGGTCCACACCCGACAGCACCGGACCAAACACAACAACGGCTGGGGCGGGGACCTGACAGTGGGTCCGCAGGGATTGGCAGTCATCGCTGCCACCTATGTACATGCTGAGTCGTTGACGTGTGTGCAGCTACAGCCCAACGGCTATCTCTGGTCTCCGCCGACCACTGATGATAATGGTGGTTCCGACAATAACAGCGGCTTTGGAGAATCCGACGATGAAGGCGATTCCTGAAGTGCGGTGAAGGGGGTGGATGTGGGCCACACCCGACAGCACCGGACCAAACACAACAACGGCTGGGGCGGGGACCTGACAGTGGGTCCGCAGGGATGGGCAGTCATCGCTGCCACCTATGTACATGCTGAGTCGTTAACGTGTGGGCAGCTACAGCCCAACGGCTATCTCTGGTCTCCGCCGACCACTGATGATAATGGTGGTTCCGACGACAACAGCGGCTTTGGAGAATCCGACGATGAAGGCGATTCCTGAAGTGCGGTGAAGGGGGTGGATGTGGGCCATGTGGCGACTATGTTGGAGGCTTTTTTTTTTTTTTTTGCACCGGTTTTACGTCTTCGTTTTCTCAGAGAGAGAGAGAGAGAGAGAGAGAGAGAGAGAGAGAAAGACGGTTGTGACACTGTATTTCTTTCTTAAGAAATCGAAGTCTGGAATGCTAATTGTAATGGAATTGCGGAGTTGCTTTCGTGATCGACGACATCGTGTCTTGTGTGCTTGTTGTCTCACCGTTTCCCGAACGTATGTGTGTGTGGTGCGTCCTCGGCTAAGGTTTCGTAAGGGGTCTGTCCCCCGTCGAGGTGCTTTTGCAAAGTTGTATGCAATTAGGGTTATGGTTGCCATGGTGTCGACAATCGAAAACCAATGTCTTTGGATAAATGCCAACGATTACTGTACAATCATTGAAAACATTTATATAATCATGAAAGAAACAACTTGAAATCCTCTTATTTTCCCCAGAGCTCAACAACTTCTTCTGAGTTGGAAGAAATTTCAATGCAGAAATAAAAGAATGATGACATTGTAATTCCAACATTTTATGTTTGCTCATAATGAAGGTGAAAGAAGTGGTCTATTCTTTTTGTCTTCAATCGCATTGTCGCCAACACCGAGGTAATGTTGGACTTGTCACTGACAAGGACAACAAATCGCACACATCATTGTTAACGACCTCTCACATTCCTAACCACCACGACTTCTGTTTCGGAAACCAATCTAGTATATAAATCAAGCAATGTGCATTTAATGGACAATCACATTTCATAAATCACGGAACAACTAAGCGGATACAACAACCACCTTCAAAAACGAATATTCATACTAAAAACACGTCTCAAACAAAATTCAGCATTCGTAGAGGCAGCGTCATGATACATTGGATCGGCGGATGGGCTCCGGGGATCGACACGGGAATGAGGGGAAGAAGGAGGAGGCAACATTGATTGCTTCCCGGATGTAGGAAGGATTGATTCTCTCTCTCTCTCTCTCTCTCTCTCTCTCTCTCTGTGTGTGTGTGTGTGTGTGTGTGTGTGTGTTACATGTTGCGCCTGCACACGAGGACCATTTTCCAGGCCCTGCGTCCTTCAGGCTAAAAGCCTGAATTTCAGGCCAAAAGCCTGAAATTTAGGGCCTACAGGCCCCGTGTCTGTTCAGCTCGTAGAGCTGGAAACAGGGGCCTACAGGCCCTGTGTCGTTTCAGACTAAAAACGGCATGAGCATTTTTAGCCTGAAACTGAGGGCCATTTTTGGGTCCTCATCAGACTGACCCACCCCGAAACTCAGGCACCAAACCAGGGTTTTAGGAACAGACTATTTTTGGCCTGTTCCCCCGACAGCCTCAGCATTGAGCTGCAGCGTCAGGCCCTGGCCCAGTTCGGCATTGGCAAGAGCAGCCTCCTGGACTGCCCGCCCTACAACTGCAGGCAGTCGGAGGCAGCCAGGAGGCAGGCCGAGATAGTACATAGGGACTTCCCATGCACTTCACGGGCAGGCAGGAGGCAGTCAGTAGTCTTCCGGATTCGCCAACAGCACTCTGGAGGAGCGTTGCAAGGGTAGTTGTAGCGTTAGCAGTAGTCTTCAGCGCTGGGCGCCATAGCTAGAGTAGCACTAGAGAGAGAGAGAGATTGGGCGAAGGCCAGGGATACTTACCTGCAGCACCGTTGCTCCAGCTTCAATTCCGAGGTACCTGCAGCACAGCGCCATCTTCACAGGTTAGTACCTGACATATAAGAGAGAGAGAGAGAGAGAGAGAGAGAGAGAGAGAGAGAGAGAGAGAGAAAGAGAGAGAGAGAGAGAGAGAGAGTTCTTCTTCTTCCTCTTCTCAGTCCACCATCTCCCTCTCACCCTCTCAATATCTGGCTTCACTGCATCAGCACACTATTAGGAAGAGGAGAGAGAGCTTGGTGACATGTGGATCCAGACTCGACATTGGACTTCAGACATTTTGATGAGGGATTATTTGGGACTCGTAACGAGACTTGGTGTTGACGACTTTCCCATCTCTTCCCTCCTCTTCGTCTCATCCCCTCCTCTTCGTATGTGCATGGCTGGGCCTGGTGCCTCTTCCTGTGTATAGCGCCAGGCCTCTTCACACCTGGCGATGAGCATGATGTATGTTTAGTGTGCATTGTGACATTGATTGGGCCAGTCATTAGCATTCTAGCATTCTGCTTCGCTATCTTGTGCTACGTGAATGAGGTCAATCCCGGTCAGGTCAGGACTTGTAAGTCTTCCCTGCGTTGTAAAGTACCATTTTGTATGTACCGAAATACACATTGCTTGTTGAGATTCCACTTGCATTGTATTGTCCATTTAGTCCTTTTCATCACATTGCGGATCCTCGGTTATTATGTACATCGCCCAACTGGGCATGTAACACTCTCTCTCTCTCTCTCTCTCTCTCTCT